ATTCACTACTGACTCCTACCTTCTCCATATCTCAGCTGCCTGTGTAAACCCTGTCTAAGTTATCTAAGTAATTCTGTTAGCCAGAAGCAATTCTAGAGTTTATATTAGTTCTGTGGAAGGCCTCATGTAGTCCCTGTCTAACGTTTGAATTGAGCTATAATGTGAATCTCAATAAAAGCAACGCAATTTGTGCAGCATATGCTGATAATGACAATCCAACTTCTTTTACCTTTCCCCCAGAGGGTATGGGAGCCCTGGGAATATCCTGAGTTTAGTTCTTTGATGATTCTATTTTACCTTTGGTGCCTTTTTTCTTTTTTATTAACATTGCAAGTCAATTTTTAATGTTTTAAGTTCATGATTTTGCTGTGAAGTCATTAGGGACAAGCCTAAATAGGGGCAAGCCTTAAGAAATCCAAACATCAGCCTGACAGAGTAGGACGACCACAGGCTTTAGTTAAGTCACTAGGCGTGACTTCCAATGTGCAATTTGGGCAGATTACTTAATCTCCTTGAGCCTATTTCCTGATCTTATGAAAAAAGTAGTATCAACCAAGAAATACAGCTCATGCATGTAAAACCTCCAGCAATGCCTGATTAAAAGAGCAGCTGCTATTATTGTTACCTACCTTTCTCTTCCTTTTGGATAACTGAGACTGATTTAATGGGGTGTCATGGCTGTTGGAAGGGTGTATGGGGGGGACTTGGAGACTGTGGGAATGGTTGGTGAAGAGAGGGTGAGACTTAAAAGTGCCGGCTGGGAGGAAAGTGCAGGTGCCCAAACCTGACGCCCTCCTACCTACCCCACCCTGCCCTGTCCCCTGCAGTCTTATCCAAGAACAGCAAGCCCATCCATACCACCATCCTAAACCCACACGTCCATGTGATTGGGGAGGACGCAGCTTGCATCGCCTACATCCGCCTCACCCAGTACATCGACGGGCAGGGTCGGCCTCGCACCAGCCAGTCAGAGGAGACCCGGGTCTGGCACCGCCGGGATGGCAAGTGGCTCAATGTCCACTATCACTGCTCAGGGGCCCCTGCCGCACCGCTGCAGTGAGCTCAGCCACAGGTGCACCTCGTTGGTGGGGGGGTGGGAAGGGAGGTGCTGGGACAGGTAGAATCAGAGTAAGAACAAGAAGGCTGGGAGGTGGCACTGGGGGGAGGAGGCATGGGCCATCTCAGAGCAGGGGCAGCAGCTGAGCAGCATGGTTGTAGTAAGTCAGCTCTTTTACTGAAGAATAAAACCAGCAACAAGCAAAAAAAAAAAAAAAAAAGTCAGATCTGAAACCTGACTTGGGTCTGGCTTTATGGCTCCAAATTGGGTGACCTCAGACAGGTTCTTTCCCCTCCCTGTCTCAGGTTTCCTGAGATGTCAGAAAGAGGGAAAGACTAGTGTCTTCATGGAACTGTTGTGAGGATTAAATAAGATTTTAGGGCCAGGAGGTGGTGTGGAGGTAAAGGTGCAGGATCCCACATGGAGTTCCCCAGTTGAGTCCCGGACCCGGCGGCTTGAAAATCACACTGGGCACAGAAGATCCTAATAAGAGAATGGAGGAGAAGGGATTGCAGCATCGCCATCTCCCCCTGCCCAAGGGGAGGTGATTTCTCATTTTCCCTCTCTCTCTTGCTCTCCATCTCTGGCGAGCGCACATACCCTATAACAAAAAGAAAAAAAAAATACTCTAAAGCATTTAGTGCAAACATGAGGCAATGTTATATTTCAACATTAGCTTCTCCTTACCTACACCTTCTCAGGCAGACCACCACATGTGCAGTGTGCCTGAGGCCCTAGAACTCAACTGTGTGTTCACTGTCCTCTCTTCTGTTACCACATTCTGTCCTGTTTGACAGGGGCATTAGGAGATTCCAGCTGGAGGTCGAACCTTCGCAGCCAGTGGCTCTGGAGGGCCTGAGTGACAGCGGCGGTCCTGTTCGTTTGAGGTTTAAAACA